AAAGTCAATCTTTCAAAATCACAACTCAATATGGAACTCTGTAGTCTCAATTCTCAACACAATACCCTGAGGAACAGACAAGTTGACAACAGCAGGAGCAACTTTTGCAGCAGCATTAGCAATACTATCTCTACCTAGACATCTGCTGTATGGTTTTGCATCATCACCAACTTCGAAAGGAACTTCCTTTTTTACATCCCCAGCAGGCTCAGGACTGACCCTTGTTGAAAATTGCCAAAGATTTCCTAAGCATGCAAATTCAATACAAACTATAAATTAAAAAGTAGTAAAACAAACAACTCAACTGAGTTCAAAAGGAATATAAAGGAAGAGGGCAAACCAAGATTCCAAAAACCAGCTGGAATAGACAAAAGCTATGGCGTCGAAATCTCCGAGAATTGCCATGGAAGCAATCCCGATTCACGCAACTGTGCAGGAATTGACAGAGAAACCCTGGTTTCTGAAATTCAGTACAGTTGATTAGATCCCCGTTTGGTTGATGAGAAAAATGTTCCGACCCTGAATTCAAATCTTTCTGATTTCAAAAAGAAAATTTTAACTTACCGTAATTGGAATTGCAGTTTGCGTAAAGGAAACCAGATCCAGCAGTAGCAATAGCTACGATCTTTAGGAGAGAGTTTCTGCTCGAAGAAACAAATATTTTCTCTGCAAAAAGGAAAAAAAAAAAAGAAGATCTTTGACATTAAAAATGAATAAGGATTAAGGGATATAAAATCAAATGAAAATTACCAGAAAATTGTTCATGAGTGATAATAGGAAGAAGAAATCGCCGCAAATCAGGTCGTCTTCTCTAAAACCCTAGTAAAACCCACGATGATGTTCTCTTCTAGGAGAAAGTCTGCTATATCACGTTGATACCACGTAGGATGTGTCCCAAACCAATTAGAAGCTGACACGTAGTTAAGTTGTGGGCCACAAAACACTCAACGTAACGTTCCTTCCTCCTCCTTTTTTGGCCGTTTGCTTGCCTTCATCCTTCTCCTTTGCAGGTTCCACCTGCACAAAGATACTTGCAGGCCTCCTTAATCTCTGTTTTCCAAGCCTAATAGCTAATACATCAAATTAGTTTGTAAATCCATCTGCCCACTCCATCAATTTCTCTCTAAATCTTCATTCTAGGCAAGAAGAAGATGTATAAAACTTGGATAATTAATTAAATTGGTACTGATGGTTTGGGATCATCAAGAAGTGAAAATCATTTTTGTGCTAACTTTATTTTTGAGTAATGTTCAATGCTAACTCCTTCGAAGTTCCAGCATCTTCTAAATCTTTTCCTTTTTTTACGGATTCAAGGTGGAAATCCCAGCGTCTTCTACCTTTTTTCTAGGTTTTTCTTTTTCTTTTTTTTTTTTTCGGTTTCAAACACCTTCTTCCATTTCAACCATGTTAAAATCCCAGATTTTCTTTTCCTTACTTGATCTGAAACGTCAATAAAGTTTCTGTCTTTTTCTTTTTTGGACCATCAATAACCTTTTTGTTAGTGAGGAATTTTATTTTCTAGCTTCATATTATCAGGAAGAATGAAGAAAAAGAAACAACAAGGAAGAAGAGGGGCAAACGGCAAAAGATTCTTTTGGATTTGAGTATACTTATTTGAGAGTTGATTCAAAAAGTCGCAATTGATGAATCGCAAAAAATTAAAAATGATTTCTTGTTTCTATTGGATATTAAAGAAAGAAAACTGAGGAGTTGAGGAGATGAAAGAGTAGAATGTAGATGGGGAGGAGAGAAGCTTTGAGCCTCTTAACGGAAACTTTCTCCGTTAAGTAAAATTCAACGAGTTGTATTTATAAAATGATGAGGTGTATTAATTTAATTATCTGCCAATTTCTTATTGGATGGAGATACCACGTCAGCTGGTATCCCCGTTGTATACTAGAATTTCTCCTCTTCTAGATATTTCAATCTGATTTTCCCTCCTCTTTTTTGGTGAATGGAAACTTGGACTGGGCCAAAGATTAGTGGGTTTAAAAGCCCAAATTGCCCAACAAATATAAAAAAAAAAATTCATATAAATAACTAAGAAATAAACAACACAGAAAATGGTTAAATTATTAAGTCCATTAACAATTGAGCTATTATTACTTTTTGATCTATAATTTTTTCTTTTTTTTTTGTCGAAGATAACCTAAAAACTTGGAAAATACATGTCAAAATAGTAATTCTGTTTAGCATGTTCATGGTATCAAAAACTAATAATTTGTTTTATA